TTAATGTCATCAAGAACTTCTTGTGAAAGTGAACGTAGACTTGGGGCGAATTTCTTTCTATGTGGTGCAAGAACATGATTATGAGTTTCAATGAGCTTATTAATAACTATAGTATTATTTTTTCAGCGCCCTACATTAAGCTACCATGGATACCCAACTTTTTTTGATTCTCTTTCTCTGTGGTCTGTACTATCTAACTTTTTTTTGCATTGATACTCTTTGGAATTCTCACAAACAAAATATCGACGAATTATAGAATTATCATTATCACGCTCTATTCTATATTTTATAGCCTTGAATTCAACCTCTAACTCATATTTTTTCAATGCACTTTCTAGAATTGTCCAATTAGGGAATTCGGCATTGGCTTGAATTATGTAATCATCATTTTCATTACTGCAATCAGATTCTTCGTCACTTTGTATAAATTCTTGGTCATTGTATTGTTGCTCTTGGTCAAATTGTATAGGTTCTTCAATTGGATGATTACTCAAAGAACGTTAACCGGTTAAAAAGGAGAGATTATCATATGTAAATTCTTCAGTTGGATGATCAATATTATCCATAAAATTTAGACCAGTTGAAAAAATAAAATCGTTGAACTATTTAGTTGGATAATCAATATTATTTATAGAATGTTGGCCGGTTGAAAAGGAGAGGTCAAGTGGTATTGAAAATACTATAAAAATCAACCAAGAAATCAACCATTAATGAATTTTTTTTATAAAATACTTCACTTTTCTTATCAATACTTTTTTTTGCAACCACTAATTTACTATTATGTTCTTCGTTATAGTTATAATCGTATTGGTCCAAACCCGAAAGATTAAAGATATTTGGCATCGTCACAGGATCAGTTAGATTTATAATTTAAAATGCGTTTCAGCTTGATACTATTTGGTTTTAACAGTAGTGAAAGCAATCATTAATATACGATTAGTTTGATGATGGTGAAAACGAATAACTGTAAATAGTCACTAAGTTAACTACTGCGGTAACTTGTAAGTGTATAGTTTATACTTCAATTTAAATAAGTTGACAGAAATTTACAATATTAATTCGTCTTGTTTTAAGAACAATAACTGGTAAAGGTATGTAAGCGATTTTATTTTTGACGGAAGAAAGGTGTCGATTTTGTCTCTAACCACTATTTATGACATACGTAATATTTTATATATTTTACTTCTATTTCTCCGCTTTATGCACATTACAAATATTTGTAAACAATGTATAATTGACTCACTAAATTTCTGATCTATATTGTACAAAAATCACCTGCGATATCGCAGATGCAAAATCGCAACCTGCTAAAATTAACATATTTCATTTATTAAATTTAGGCTAAAATTCGCCTAAATTTTTTGTATTTGTAAAGTTTACTTCGTCATTTATGCCATTAATGGCCTTTATTGTAAATAATGAAAATGTTTCTTATCACAATTGTAAAAATGCAAAATTCCGGTAATTTTTTCGGCATAATAAATTCAATAAAAATTGATACAATACTGTAATATATACGTAATTTAAAATCAGGTGGCTAATATAAATAAAAAATTATGCACATTTCTTGTTGAATTC